CCTACGACGGTACTAGGGCATCACTCCCCTGCACCGTACACGTTGCTGTTTTGTTTGTCCATATCCATGATTTATTTTCTGTCGTCCAGTCGTAACGAGGAATTCACGTCTCACTCATTCCTTCGCAACCTACCCCGGTCAGGGCCGGTGTACGGTGACAGGGAGCTCCACAAGAGGGTGCGGTGAGCGGTTTTGACCGGTATAGGCTCATCAGCTTCTACGAAATTCTCCACACCGGACTGGCGTTAGGACAAGTGTCCTAAGGCACCGATCGATAACTGTCCAACTATAAGAAGATATCAGATCCATTGGGGTTCCCTGCGGCGTGGTCTTACTCCATGAGAATCCATACCCGCCCCGTGCTCCCCACAACTCGACAACTCAAACCTCGATAACTCACGAGTAACGATTAACACGCATCTACTCGCAATTTACTCGTAAGAGCAACTAGTCGCAACTCAATCTTATCTACAATTGTAATTATTAATCACTAAGCATTCTCTCCACCAAGATGTCCCCTTTTATACCAAAGTCTTCAGTACTCGTACAACGCACATATGTTCCACAGTTGTGGATAACCTAAGATGGTCACCGACACCTTTTTTAATTGCCCAATGTCCTAAACTTTCACGGACATATGGCCAATCGGGATTTTCCATCCTTCCCGGCCTGTCAACACTATCACTGTCTTCTACCTGTAGTTCTTCAGGATTTGCCAAGAGTTTTCCACGATAGTGCAATAATATGAAGTAAAGTTTATTACTAATGCTATATAATTGGAAATATTTCTGTCATTATATTGAAAAACACAATTATTTAGTTATCGACATTATGCGTTCCGCGAATCTAACTATACAGTTTCACTGAAAACCTCGTTCATATTTAAATTATGCGAGGCTATAAGAAACGCTCTTCGAAAATTTTATTTGCACAAAATCTAGTTCAATCGAATACCAATCACATAAGCAAGGCAAAAATTGTTAACAAAAATATTTTTTGGCCGAAAATCAAGCCGCCTTTGTTTTGTGTGAGATTGGTATTGAGTTGGACTAGATTTTCACAAGCGAGCAGAGCGAGCGAACGGAATTGAAGTAAAATTTTCGAAGATACTTCTTATAGCCTCAGATACGCAGTTACGAACGAGGTTTTTGATGAAGCTGTATATTCAGAGTTATAAAATATGATAAAAAGATAAGGGGTTCAACGACTGGATAGTTCGATGGATGCAAATGGGACATTCCGCGGCGCACGGAGCGATGAACATGTCAGTTGACTGTGATGTCATGTGACTGTGTCACAAATCGCACATGTAGGCATAATGCATTGTAGTGATACCGATAATTTTTTGCAAATACTTCAGAAAGTAGGACTGCGCAGCAGTTACATGTGTACGAGAAATTTGTCCCGAATGATGATTTTGACAGTATATTTTAAGTTCATTGAAATAAAAAAGGACCAGTTTTCCCCACATTGACCTCCCTTTACTATTAGCAAAATGATTGTCAAGGTCGGTTTCCGCCAATCGAAGATTTTTATATCCCTAACCCTATAACGATTCTTTGTTTCAACAGGAATGTCTCTATGATGACTAAATTAGGAAGAAGTTAAAGTTAGTGTTGCGCTACTCATATTGATTGATTATTATCCAAAATGAGATATGAAATTAAACGGAAATTTCACACGTAAAGTTAAGAGTTCTACTTGTTCTAAATGGTTAATTACTGCCGTTTAATTATTTCGAATATTGTGTTAATCCTTTCTTTTTCATGCGTTTAATTACCTTTTTCTATTGTTCCAGCTAGATCGATAACCGTAACAAAATGGTGAATCGGCAAAAAGCACTACTGATGACGTTAATAGCTCTCTTAATTTGTCCGAACGACATTTTTGGTAAGTCTCTCGCAAAAGAAAATTTTAATGAAGCATTTTCATTTCACAATACACTTGAACACACACAATGTTATAAATATTTCAAATAAGTAACTTAGTTGGCACATTTTTCGACAAATGTTAAAAATAACACGTATGACATCTGTCGAAATATTACTTGAAATTTCGTCAACGAACATAAACGAACAACACGCCACAATAATTATCGTCTTATATGAAAGAGCCACATTTATGTAGTATCGTGGACGAAAAGCCTAAGAGATATCGGGCGAACCATGAACAATGTCGCGAGAGCCGAGGCGCCGTCGGGCCCATCAATGTGTCATCGGTCTTTTCAAGTGCATAGTTTCGTAGAAAAGACCTACGTGACCCTGGCCACGAGCGTCTGCAGAACACGTGTGCGATGGGCCTAGGAGAAGACAACAGAATGCTGCAACAGGGAGTCGAGAAGCAGCGTGCGAGTAGAGAAGCAGAGCTTGCGAGTGGCGTTACCGGGAGAGTGTTGATTGCGTTTTGTGAGAGTCGAGTCGTATTCTAATCATCTAGTTGTGCTGCTTTCTGTACGTTTGGCGTGAATAGTTCAGGTTGAACAACAATCGTCTTTTCTGTCCAATTAACATCTGTATCATCCATTCCTTTGTAAACACATATTATATCACGATATTACATTTATATCGGCAAATATGAAACATAAATATTTCAAATAATATTAGTAATTATATTAGTATTAATATAAGTAATTCGACTAGTACTCAACAAATAATACAGAAACAATAATCAATACCACTTTAACATGCCTTGAAGTTGTTTTCTTAATCCTGCATTTTCTGAAGTATTCTCGATAAGAAGCCATTCAGCTTGTAAGAAAAGAGCCAAGACTGATTAATTAATCTTGTTTCTAAGTAAGTGTAGCGGCACGCGAGCAGGATAAATTCAAATCTTATTGTTGTTTTGTTTCGGAGTATCATGACCGTTAGGTCACGGGTATTGCAAGGAGTAATGAACTCCGAGCAAAACAATGTCGCCGCTACTTTCAACCATCAAACGCAGTCGAGTTCAAACTTTCCGACTGTCCCCCGACCAGTATAAATAAACAAACGAAATGACGAGCGAGAGTTCAGCGTAAGCATATCGACGCATCATAGTGTATACGAAGTCTCTTGACACGCGCGTATTTATTTCGATAGATTATTATACCTGGACTTGCGCTTCGTATCAAAGTATATCTTTAATAAAGTGCTCACGACACAATTTTTAGCGCACAATATCGCATAGCGTTTAATCTTAAACAAGACATAAATGACGAATGTTTTGGCACACGATCAATCTTGTTTTTAACGAAAGTAATTAAGTTTAAGTGAAAACAATTGAAGTAAGGAACTATATATATAGTTATTTATATACGATACGATGTACGTGGGAACAACTTCTCATCTATTCCTCGAGAAAGGAAAACAAAATTATCTTAACTAACAATATTCAGCAACCAGTTTCTGAGATCGTTAATTACCGTAGAAAATTATTTCCATATGAATTTGAAAAAACGGACAAAATACAACGAATGCCGCGAGTTATTATAATGCATCCACAGATTGCATGATCAATTTTACTTCTAAGCTGTTCTTTTCACGACCACTTGTAAATACAATACCGAAACTAATCCGCCTTTGAAATGCGCGCTATCACCGACAATATGCGTTGATATTGACTTTACGGCATTCCCTCCCAGTAAAATATTAGTAATACTTTTTGCGAACCGAGCCAGCTATGCTGTTCTCTTTTCACAGACAAATCGAATAAAGCGGCAACTTCCCAAAAATACTTGTATGAACCACATAAAAAGAACATGAAACTCACCGTAGTTGCAAATGTACACGTTTTTCCTTCCTTCCACTGCTCTCCTCTTTTTTCACACTTGTTGCGATTTTTCTTAGGAGAAGTTTTCGATATTTTCGTGTGTATGAGATAACTTTTAGTAACGATAGTAGGCTACTATAAAAGGAAGTAATTACAAAAATGTGCAACATTTTCTTTGTATCTTTAGAACAAATACAAAAAGATATTCTATTATATTTATAAGTAATATGTTACAATTTGCTCCACACTTAGGCAGATTCGTATTTTTCATTCGTACAATTTTTGATCACTTGGTCTGCGAATTTTAATTTCGTCAAAAGAGGTATAATGCAACTAAAATGCGACAATTTATTGTCAAATATCAAATGTATTTTACCAAATGTCCAAATCGGACAAATTATGAATGTAAACAACTAAATAAAAAAAAATATCAAATGCTGCAATAGGTCGTTTTTAACAAAAGAATACGGAGATATTCACCTGTAATGCGAGATAGCATTTAATTACAAGCATCCTTTAATTTCTGCCGATTTCCGTAAAAAAATGAACTTATTCAGTGAAAAATACTCACATTTCTATGTACAGGGTGTATAAAAAGGAAGTGTAAAAATCATATTAACACGATTCTACGCCCCTGGCTCGGAAGAGATTTGTAAAAAAAAGTTAATGCAAACTTAATCTTCAAGGTCAATAATTTTTATGATTTGCAACGAATTCTACTCGTCACGAGGAACAAAAGTCTCAAAGGTACCATGAGTCGCAAATCATCCCTTCTCCCGAAAATAAATGTTAAAGTATTAATAGTTCTTATACTAGCTTTGTTCGCAATATGTTTACATTTATATGTCGGGGATGAAAGGACATCGGAACCTCCCCTTCGGAATTCGGGAAAATCCCTTAATACCGTAATCTAGATTCTATCATAAGCGTAATTAAACAATTATCGTCAATCGATCCGATTGTATTTGTTCGAGATTTGTGATAATGAGCTTGTGCTCGAGGCGACAACCAGTCGCCGAACGTAGTCGCTGTCACGGGATGAACGCTTTGTCTAACAAAGGTATGGAGTAACTCTATAGCTCTCCTTAAAAGAAATATTTGTAACAGCACGCGACAGTAAACATTCCAGCGGTTTCTGTCCCGTGGCTCGCCGTATGCAGACCCTATTCTTCGAGTATGATGGTTACCAGATGCTGACGCATCTCCGTAGTACATGTTCAGCTTGCCGGAGAACCGTTATAAGCACTAAGATCTAGTTACCTAAAGTCCTTCAAACAGACAAACAGTCTTTGCCCCAACAACGGAAAGATAGGGGAGATCTATTTTTTTCAACGAACGATATCTCCCACTAGCAACTTTCTCTCGACGGCGGCTAGCATCCTCTTCTAGCCGACATGGAAATTGACCCATTAACAGCAACGTCAATTTCCCTCACTTCCTGAACGAAGGCTATCCTCGACGAATCCGATGATCTTGTGTTCTTAGACACACCCCATCATAGTTTTCCTCTGCAGCATCATCGCTACGGAAAGTCATTCTCTCGTGAGGTCGTATTAGCGAGTTACTTAGCGTCTGTACGCTCGGTGAATACTCCACGTTTTAACGAAGAGAGTTAGTTTAGTTACACTTCCATCGTAGCCATGCAAGTCGAGTACGATTTGGGCTTTGGAAGAAAGCACATCCTGTTATCCCGCTGACCGCGGATTCGTTATCGAACCTAAGACCATTGTCATTAGTGTCTAATCACCACGGTTACTTGTCGATTCTAGAATATCCACACTTGTGCTAATAATCATATTTGCACTAGTCAATGTCTTCTCTATTGCATAACAACAATGTGTAATCCTAATGAAGATTCGTTTCACGCCCCTAATCCTACTTCTAATGTAAACCCGACTAATGTAAACCCGACATATATTTATATGTAATGAAAAAGTAGCATATTATTTTCGAAGCGACGGGAAGTTACAGACCAGCTCGTGAAATGTATCAGAATATAGAAATAATGGAAGATATGTAGGGGACATCCCGTAATATTGCGATTTTTAGCGGCTATGTTAATAATGTAGTAATCAAGAATAAATTACGATATCTGATGATCGATCCTTCATTAATTGATGTAAAAATGAACCGGTTAATTATCGCTTTTCCTCGTGCTTATCTGCTATTAGACTTACATAAACTGGTTCGGCAATCACATGAATAATTCGAGAAAAAGGCTTACAACCTTACAAAATTCGTCGAGTTCAAGCACTTCAAATGAATGACTATACTACTTGATGAAGCTTTTGTCGTTGAATGCTAGATAAGTTACAATTCGTCCTACACTTTTTGGAGCATATATTATTTACGGATGAAGGAAGTTTTTTAAGTTGTAGTATCCTCGATCGACAGAGTGTCAAAATTTAGGCATATAGATATCCACATGTAGTGGTTGAATGATTTAACTAAGGATGATTCACCACAAAAGTATGGACAGGAATTATTGGAAATCATATTATGGGCCCTATTTTCTTACTTGCATCGATGAAGAGTGCAACATAATTCCAAATTCCATGCTAACATCTCCTAAGCGAATTACGTGTAATTATATCACAATAGAGTCATTACTTCACTCATTTTATGCACAATGGTAATATACCTCACCATAATCGACTGATACAGACATTTTTAAACGAATTGTTTGGTATAAGATTGATAGGGCGTAGACCTGTTCCTCATATGTGACCTCCCTGTTCATGGGATTTTGCGGCACTGCACTTTTTTCCTTGACAAAAGAAATTGTTTATAGTTCAAATGATGAAGTGAATAGATTACACTCGTTAACCTCTTAGGTACGGCTGAATTTTGCGCGGGGCTGTTTCTCTGTACGGCAGAGTTTGACGCGAATTACGCGTGAACGATACACCACTGCAGAGTGTGACATTTTACACAAACACGTCGGAATGAAGTTTTTGATATCTAAATTATAATTTTTCTTAAAAATATGATGCATACATTTTAACTTTAATAATTTACTTTAATAATTAATAATACAATTGAGTGTGATATACTTTGAAGCATGTGTCACGTAAAATAACAAAATAAAAAAAGAAATTTGAGGTGAAAAATAAAAAAAAGAAACTTTATTTTTTTCTAACAACAATCCACTTTACAATCCACTTCCGAAATCTAGGTGTGACTTTCCAAGACTGAAGCTCTTACAATTTGACTTTCAATCGGATCCGATTACTTTCTTTTGTCATCCCTCAACATCCCCACCGTCAATGCATTTGCTAGGCGTCCGCGACCGTTGCCACGTGCTCTTCTTCTAGAACCTTCGGTGGAAGCACCGTTCGGATGTTGATGGTTCATTAGGCACTTCAGCGATATACATTGTCGCTGAGTGCCGCCACATCTTTATCTCCATCGTCAGTCCATCGAATTTGAAGTGCGCAGGTCGTGTCGCTCGTGGTACTACAATGTCGCAGACAGATCGTCTTATATGACCGGCGAAATATATACAATCTAGCGACAAGCGCGTAGTTCTCATCAAGCAGCGAGTTCTAGAAACGTCGATTCGCCTTCGGTCCGTTATTTCATATACAATAAGAAGGTGGCACACGTGATTGTAACGTCAATTCATATCAGAGACCAGGCCACACACCACGGACAGGATGGCACCCAGATGTCTGCATATCCTTGGCGCGCACCCTCAATAGTCTTAAGTGCCCACCAGGGGCCTTGGCATTTTTATAGTTAAGGTCCTTCGGACCAAGCGAGTATTTCCTGTCTTAAATTTCCCTTTACGTTTATTGTCTACCACGTGTTAGCTTAGAAAGTTGGTTTTCTCCACATCTGGTATGTTCCGTTGGCAACTTTCTCGCGAGGGCGGCTAAAACCCTTCCTGGTCCACCAACCGTCCTATTATACAATCGGAGACGGTGTCTACTGCCCTCACTTCCTTAACCAAAATTGTCATCAACAAATCCGATAGTACCGTGTCCTTAGACACACCCACCCCTAGCTTTCCTCAGACACAGTATCGTCAGTAAAACTTCACTTATTCTGTATCCTTAGAATAGTCAACATATCTATATCGGTCTCTATCCTTATAAGTCGCGTACTTAATGTATTGTTGTAACTAAGTCTTACATAACGTGGTTGAAGTGAATTGTGATTTATGCTAATTCAGTGCGTGTTACATTGTGATTGGTGAATTCACAATAAAGGTTGATTAAAACAAAGTTAATTGTTGTGTTACGACTCAACTATATTTTATTTCCACTAACCAGCCCTAAAAATTACGTGACATGATCATAGGCGCTAACGGTGGCGCGACCCGAGCATAGTGAGGGTCATGTCCGAGAGAAGACAAAGAAAAGGATCGAAAGGCAATCAGTATCATTTGAAGATTCAAACGGAACGCAACGAGAGGTACTGACGAATAAAATCGCTTAGTCTAACGAATACATCAAGAAATATTATAAAGTCGGGTCGAATTACTAACAAACTAATTGTCCCTATCATTAAATAATTTGTGGTGTATTCATTACATTATTTTTAAATATTGTCAAATATATAAGTTTATGTTAACCCTGTTAATTCAGTGTTAATCTCATTCTAACCACCTCTGTTATCTTAATCGAAACAAGGGAACGACTAATTCGCGGCGTCTATTATCCGAACCGTAGCGAGAATTTACGCCTCTCGCTGATGCGTTTTCCTCGTGACCGCGTCTCTCCGCGATCAGTCGTAACATAATTAACAGGTCTATTTTATTTCTCTATTGTTATCGATACCATAGATTGATAATATTTATCAAACGCATTACAGAATATCAATTCTCAGAAACAGTATGAAATTCGTAAAGATCGTCATTTATTATGGACAACAAAACAAGAGAATAACAGCAGAGAAGATCATATTCCTCGAATTCGTGACACACACAGATTTTAATTATTCTTTGACGATTTCACACGCTGCGTTACGCATAATTCACAAGCAGGTATCGTAATCGCATTTAAGATGTTCTGAGAAATGCGTAACGCTTCCAAAGTCGCATTTCGATCAGCAAATATGTCACGTAAAATAACAAAGTAAAAAAAGGAATTTAAGGTAAAAATAAAAAAGAAAACTTTATTTTTTTTTCTAACATCAATACACTTCACAATCTACTTCCGAACTCTAGGCATGACTTTCCAAGACTGACTCTTATGATTTTACTTTCGATCGGATCCGATTATTTTCTTTTCTCATCCCTCAACATCCCCACCTTCCATGCATTTGCTAGGCGTCCGCGATCGTTGCCACGTGCTCTTTCTTCTAGAACCTTCGATGGAAGGACTGTTGGGATGTTGATGGTTCATTAGGCACTTTAGCGATATACATTGTCGTCGAGTGCCGCCACATCTTTATCTCTATCGTCAGTTCGTCGGATTTGAAGTATGCCGGTCGTGACAAATACATCGAATAGTTGGCGATGTTGAAACTCGTTCGAAACAAGCATCGGGTCTTTTTAGTGTAAGGACGGAACTACCATTCCGCAATCGCGGTTATTTCAAGTACATACTTCTATTTTCACAGAAGCATCCGCCTCATAATAAGTGCAGATAGCATTTTCTTGAAGAGGAAGTAGAAGAGGGACATGCTGAAATGAAAACATGTGGCTTAGCAATTCGTAATGACGTCGCTTTCTAGCATCAATTCCTATCGATTAACCGAGGAGTTCGGTGAGTTCAGTTTTATACTAAAAAAAAATATAATTTTGTAGTTTTTCTTTGGTCGAAATGTCTGTTCTTTTGCGTACTACGGCAAGATTTTCTTCTACATGTTTAATGTCTGAAAAATGTAAGCAAAAAGTGATGTATTTTCACTTATTATTTAAACAATTGTCATTTAAACATATGTAAATGTCTATGACGTACTAACAATCCATATTATTTTATCTGGAAGAGTCCAGAAAATTTTTCGTATTGAGAGCAACTCAATAACTGCTACTGTAAAAGCGCTAAAAATCTCCACAGTAGAAAGTTTATAGTGACAAACAATTGATTTGTTCCAAAACTGTACATGGGTATTTGTCGTTTGTGAATTGGTATTTAGCACTCAAAAGTCTACAAGAATCGCCTATTGAAAGTTACAAAATTAGAAGAGTGTTATTCAAAGCAATAGTTAAGTGCGCGTCCATTCGATAAAAATTTCAAACTCGATTTTCTCGAAAACGGAGTCTCAAACGAAAAAATGTTATTCTTCTTTTCCTACTTAATCTTATACCACCCGTCCGACCTGACTCTGTACATATACACATACATATACAGGCGCACGCATATAAAAGAAATAATTTTTCAATAAAATTAAGATCTGCTGTGAATTATCAATTACTTGAATAATTCTATAAGCTCAAAGTGCTTTCGTAAGTTCGACAAAGGTATCCAAACAGACGTTCAGAAGAAGATATAAGACAGACTCGAGTAAATCATGCTTATAAAACGATTTTCGATGGGAACAGATTTACGAGAAATAATAATTCTGACCTAGCTAAGGATGGTGAACTTGTAAAAAGGGCAACGGGCGCGAAGAGTTCAACATGTTCGTTATATCGAATATTGAACAACAATGGCCAACAGTGAATGGGATAAATAAGATTCTGAAGGAAGGTGTGAATTCATGAAGGGAGGCTTTTAGTTAATTGGGAACTTGTGCTTATCGCCTGCTTAACTAGCAGCAAAGCGAAAAGGGAGGGGCTATTCAACTCAGCTATACTCAAAAACCAATTGAATTGAATCAGTTCTGGCTGTTATTTATGGCCTTGTTCGAGCGTCCTTTTAACGGTCGCGATGAAATTTTTTACGTTTTAAAGAGCAATCAAGATGAAGTGAAAACAAACAGAAGAAAAATGAAGAAATGAAAAGTTATCAATAGGATTTTAGGAAACCGGTACATTCTTTCGTTCCTTTTTTCTTTTTTCATCGAAGCAACAACAAATAATTAACTGCGGATGCACATTTCACTTGCTCCTTCCTCCCCTGCTACGCTCTAATTTTTCACGAATAAAATTATGATAATTTATGTTTCTTCAACAATCTTTGATCGTTTATTACATACCCAAACCACATAACTTTTCATTTTGTCGTTCACAGATGGTGATTTTACTATTAGAACTTTCAAAAGTTAATGTACAACTGAATCAGGTATACTGTCGTTTAATTCTCATTTTAATTCTGTAACTGTTTAGATGCAGCTTTTATTAGCATAAGGTTAGACCAACACATTTTTGCACTCACCTTGCGATTACCTTACAAAATTAACAATAGCTATACATATACAGGACGGTATTCTACTATAGACCTTTAAAATAGTCAATACATTTTTCTTTGTCTTTCCTTAAGGAACATCATTTCAAAAGTGAAAAGCCCTTATGTCAAAAATTAAGTAAATGACTGTTAGTGCGGTAGTTACTTCTGGCTATTTAAAACTTTTCGAATTTAGCGGTCAAGTTCAAAAAAAGAGGTGAAACTGTAATAATAATAAATAATTTTTGGATATGTTGCTGAAATCAATATTTTGAACAACCTTTTCTTGTATATGTAACTATCGGTCGGCCATAACTTTCGAGATGCGCGCATAAAACTATCGATACCATCATACTGAATTCTACCTATAATTGTGCGTTCGTAAAGGCATATGAGATAGCATCGGTTGCCGGCAACCTTGCGGTGGACGGATATAATAACTTAACTCTTCTCTTCTATTAATTGCATACACACTTTAAACGAGAATTGGAGGAGCTCGTGTAACTAACTAGTGCACAGCTGCATATGTGAGACTGTAAGAGATGTCTGTTATAATTGAATAAAAACCGAATATCATCAATGTATTGGATTTTCATTTGAGTTAGTTTCCTTAATCTGGCTTGCGTAAAATAATAAAAGTATTTTTTTCATAATTTTCAATATTCAATATTCAATTATTAATTCATTTACGATTTTTATAATAAATTTTTTCTTATTGCACGCAAGCATTGCAGGTTGCCTCATAGCGGCAGAATTGAAAAAACTATCTCAAACCTGATACATCGATGACATTCATTTTTAATTGAATTATAAGAGACATTTTTACAGTCCCGGGCATGCAATTGTACATGGAGCTTTACCCAAGCTCACCCCATCCTCTTTTGTATAAATAAACAGAAGATTAGTGGTAGTTTTCGACCAGGTCACTCTATCCGGCTGTTGGAAACTAATACAGACGCATACGCTATGGACACACAATTATAAAGCAGAATTCACTGTAGTGGTATCCATAGTTTTTTGCAAATATTTCGGCAATTATTCCCGACCAGTAGTTATATGTAAAAAAGAAAGTTGCTCAAAATGTTGAACTTTGCAGCACACTTAAAAATCATCAAAATCGGAAGGGACGTAGGTTTTCTATAGTTTCACCAAAAAAGAAAAGTTGATTCTGTACGTTACAGAATCTAATATAAGGATAATGGAAAGCGATAGTTTTCGTAATTTTCTTCTATCTATTCATGAATATTTGCAGTAAGAGTATTGCAATCCTAAGTGTTTTCCTCTCCAGCATTGCATTTTACCATCGATATTTATGACTTGTGCAATGAAATGTACGTAGCATGCATGTAATAGTGACAAGTTCGTCTTGAAATTGAGTTCACGCTCGTGTCCGTTCTCATTTCATCTGCTTTGGAAAGTAAAAGAAAAGGAATGAAAGAAAAGAAACAAAAAGAACGGAGAGAATTGGATAGGAATGAAAGAGAAAACATGACACAAAATAAACGTACAAAAATGCGGTATTTTAGAAAAAATGTCAATTAAGAATAAACAAGCGAAGCGAATTGGAGAAAGATGAAAGACTAGAATAAGCAAGACAAAAAGTGGAAAGCCGATTCATTAGAAGGACGACAGAACTTTTAGTCGAGATGGGATAACTAGGATATTCAGGAAACTAGTTGTAAGATATAGAAAAGTTGGGAAAGAAAAATATACGAAGAACAAACGAGAAATTACAGAATGCCGAAGAATTGGAGCAACTAAAACTTAAAAGACTACAAAATGCGGGTAGCAATAACAATCACACAGCGAAAAATGTTCCTTGATTCAATAAATACTAAGTAGATATAGGGAAACACAATACCAAAGCTGTTAAAGTAAGGAAAATAATTTCTCAACATTACAAATCGACTTTGCGAACATTTTTCTACCTACATGTGAATAACTTATTTATATAGTGCACTCGTAAGAGTAGTTTCGCATCCCACTTCCTATATATGATGTTTTATAGAAGATAATTCGAATCTTCCTTTCAAATATTATAACAGTTCTGCCCGAGCAGCCGAGCTAAGCGGACGTGAAAAACAGTGCTTCAGAAAAGTGCGGCGAGTGGGGAAGAGAAAGTTACGAACGGCTACACCCATAACTAAATGGTGGAAAACCTGGTGTCTTCTACTAAGAAGACTACAAGCAAACCTAACATGAAAAAACAAATCTCACCGATAAAAATTATTAACAAAGACGAACAATGCTACATAAATAAAACAACAAACACATCAAAAACAAGCCAACAAATAAACCAAGAACAGAACTGCTCAGTTACAATCGAAGTTGATATGGAAACCAATAAAGAAACAACTCAACAGGATGAAAGCTAGAAGGTGGCGAGCTACAATAAAAAACGAAAAATAATAGGTAATCTAGACACAGAAAATCAGCGATGGCTGCAAGAATTACCATTAAGAAACTCCTTCAGCTCGCTAACGGAAGAAATAGACGATGACCCAACAAGCAAAACAACAACTCAACCAACACACATTACAAAACCACCACCAATATTTGTTGAGGCGCAAATAATAGACCCGCTTATTGATCCACTAAACAATATAGTTGGGAAGGATAATTACACAATAAAACAAACAAAATTAGAACAGCTAAAAATTCAAACAAACACCCCAGAAAATTATAGGAAAGTGATCAAAGAATTAAAGGAAAAAATGCTATATACCACAAATACATATACAAAATAATTATAAGAGGATTACATCCAAAAATTAACACAGAAAAATTAAGTGACGAACTAACAAAAATTGGCCATCAAACAAGAACAATAAACAATATGACAAGATACGATACAAAGCAACCATTACCATTATTCTTAATAGAACTTGAACCCAGAACCAATAACAACGAAATTTATGAAATCAAAAAAATTCTAAACACAAAAGGCCAGTATATATGCAAGCTACTTCCAAAAATCACAGGTGTATTTTTGTTCAGGGGAGAAGTAGTAAATTAAAGCCAGACATTTTGTTTTTTATAATGATGCTAAAAAGTGGGTTGGTCTATCCGATGAGATGTCATCCTATTATAGTTGTTTGCGCAGAACCGTAAAATGGTTAGAAAAATTGTAATAGAATTAATATGCGGGATTTGCCTCGTAAATGCATGGTATGTATTAGGTTGTCCGAAAAATTTCTATCGTTTCATAAGGTAATAATGGATGAACAACAATTTCTGTTTTATATTATTTTATTGAATTAGGCATGTTCCATTTCGTTCTATTACTATTATTATGTTCGTGCATAATTCAATAAACTAATATAAAACAAAAAACATTGTGCGTCTATTACTTCCTTATAAAACAAAAGAAGCTTTTCGAACAATCTAATATATAGAAAATGGGATACTAAAAGTATTAAAATTTTAAAATTTCGCGAAAAAAATTTTGATCTCCTTTTAAGTACAGTGAATCGCCACAGAGACGAAATGCCAAGTGAAAATAAAGTACAGCCTAAAAATCATTCACATTTTCTGCAGTCGTACCAAGGGCCCGCGCGAAAAACGAGACGGTGGTGTAAACAACGTTATAAACGTATTTCTAGAATAAAAGGTAGAGAGTATGCCACGAATAATGCCAAAAAAGTATCGACATATTGTAATCGTTGTAAGGACCAGCCGGCACTCTGTCTAATATTTTTTAGAAAATTGCATAAAAAAGTAAATAATTATGTTAAGTTTATAATATTGAATTGTTATGTTCTTATTATTGAATATCTGTTTATAATGTTGAGATGAAATAACATGAACCTATTTTGTACTATCTATTTTGTGAAATACAAGTGCGACCCACCGTGATGCGCTCCGCCTTACGGAACAGACACGTGTGACCCACCAGTAATTGTAATATCGGAATATATTAAAGGTGTAATTTTGTCCGATTAATTATAATTTATTAATTATGGATTGAAAATACAGATATTAGTTAGACAGAGAAACGATGTTTAACAGGAAAACTAAATGCAACGCTCGTATTTACATCAAATAACTTGACAACTATTTGGTAACTCTCTCTCTCTCTTTCTCTCTCTCACTAGCAACTCTGACACTTGACAACACTCTATGCTTCGACGTCTCGATCAACTCTGACCCTCGCCAATGCATTCCTGCTCGGTCGTGCTCGCTCTTGCTCTCGTCCTCTCTCACACACACACACACACACTTTTCGGCTCACATATTCTGGCCTCTCGATTGCCACTCCTTGAAATATAAAACCGTACTTTTGTTCTGACGCTGCTTATCTTTTCTCGCGTCACTGTTACTAGGCGCTCTTGGACGTAAACAAACCACAAAAAGACGACGTACACGGTGTTTTCTAATTTCAGCCGATCTCCAATCAAAGCTATTCTACGATATTACATAATGCACGTCGGCGTTGTCACGTAAATTCGTGATAAAAAAAGAAGTAACTGAGCAACAGCTTAACTTGACTGTCCTTTTATATTTTTGTAGGCTTTTATTCACAAAAGTGATTAAATACAATATTACAATGAAGTAGCGAAGTTAAAATAATTTTTATATGTTGAGTTTGTAGGAGTTGAGGGGCAAGGAGAGGATCCTGACTGCCCTACGTAATGGGGAAAATTTAGTGTTGGACCATGTGCAAAGGTTAGGTCAAGGCCTAACTGTCGTCGTTATTCCACACTTCTTGATAATAAACTTTTAGACTTTGACCTTACCTTTGCACACAGCCCAGCACCAAACTTCCCCCCATCACGTAGGGCACTCAGGATCCTCTCCTTGACCCTCAACTGCTACAAACTCAAACATATAAAACTGCGAATATTCGACCACGGGACCAGTCTTGGGCATGGTCTTGGCCGCGGTTTGAACAACCACTTTAATACTTTGTAACTTCGCTACTTCATAACATTGTAATATTGTACTTAACCACCTTTGGAATAAACCATATAAAAATATAAAATGACAGTCAAGTTGAGCTGTTGCTCAGTTCTTTCCTTTTTCTTCTATTTCCTCATCACGAATTTTACGTGACACGAACCAGAATGAGTAAATAAGAGGACAATTAGTATAAACCAAAAATATTACGAATTGGTATATACGACATATATGTACGATGTATAGGTACGACGTATTGGTATATAAAAAATTTTCCGATGCAACGGTAGGCTTTTATTTTATAATTTACTATCAATGAAGAATGACGTACAATAAATTAGAACATGCCACAGTGGTTTAGGAATTAACAGAGTAATTGAAAATATTTCCAGAATTTGTCGGTTTTTGAGTGTGTCAAAATGTCATGAAATACATATTGTCAATGATTGACGGTTTCACATAATTTTCACCCTTATAAATCTACAACGGCAATCGAAACAATCAAACACTTAAGGGCCTATTTTCGTAATTATATTATTATAAATATACCCCATCATATAATAAGTGATTGCGGGACCCGTTCCTCTTCAGACACATTCAAAATTTTTCTTAAATAGTAATTAGTTAGGAACATGTTTTGATCGCAACCGCAACACCTCATACCAACGCATCATACATGTTGACGTTTTAATCGCGTTATCGCACTCATATTGGTAAAATTATCCAAATATTCAGAAGTGATTTAAAATTTTAAATAAGGTAAAATTTGGACCAAACAATTCTGTCTGTCGTTCGACTGGTGAAATACCAAGTCGTTTGCTATTTGGGATGGATCAGTTAAGGTTACGTTTAGAATTAGTAGCGATATTATAATATCAAAGTAGAAAGAGTACCATCCCGCGCAAAAAAATTTGGTGTATGTCTTATTCGATTAGGAACAAAAATCAAGTTTCTCGAAATTTATCTTTACCATTTCAAGGATCAAACGTTCTTATTTTAAAACAGCAAATTTTTATAACGAGGTACTATTAAGACATTTCGAAAATAAGAGTACTATGTAATATCAGATTCAACTTTTTATATTCATGTTCTTTTACATTAAGGAAATAGAGTGCTTTCAAACTACATTGTTAAAGTTGTCAAATTCGTCAAAATGACGCATTTTGTCATCAGTGAGAATTCGGTCATTCTGTTTGTGCAATTATCTAAATATGTATAAATGTTTTTGATGCAAAATTGTAATTATTTACACGCATTGTATGAAAGTACCTACACGCTAAAGAGTACATATGAATCCTAACTACTTCAATCTAATTTCTTTTTCAAAATAAACTAAAAGATATATATAACAGCGATACATATATACACGTCGCTCCTTGAAAAATTGTGTTATTTTATACACATTATTTCTTTTCTTCTGTTCGAATGGAAAGAGCACTCTTTACGAATGACTCATGAAAATAGCTAGTACTCCTATTCTCGAATAAATGCAAGAAGCCAGTCCATTTTCCTGCAACTTCTCAAAATCGGGTCAGAACAAAGAATATAAGCACATCGAGGGCCATTCAAGAATTTATGCCAATCTCAAATTAAAATAATACAAAAGCTTCCAGTTTCAGACTCAATACAAAAATCTTATTCCTTCCCGGTTCGGTACTGAGGGAGTGTTTATTCCTCGCTTTTATTTCTACGTAATACAGCCACCATCAATTTACTTTGCTCCCTGCCACTCGGCAGACTGCTTGTCCCACGGCGATTGTCATTTCTACTTATAATACTTTTTGATCTTATTATCGCTGTTATAAGATAAATAGGTCAAGCTTGTTTTCAAGATCTCACGGCTTGATTCTGGGCTTATCTTTGCTCCGGAATCTTTCCGCCCCTTTTGTCCTGCAATTTACCTGACGAGCGCTACCTTGCCCCGTCGAACGAAAATGTGTCGTGCCTCTTATTTTATTATCTCGCGACTTCTCAGTTCGGCTCTTTTACTTAAACTTTCCATTCTCTCTTTCCCTTTCCTCATCCATGCCCTTCTTGTTCTTTTCTGTTAGTTGTTGTCGCTTAACATTTGTTTTCTTCCTCCCTGTGTACTTTTGACATGACGCAGAAAAGGGATTTAAAAGTCTTGAGCTTGGACAGCGTCGAGCTAATTATTGTAATTTCATGCCCTTGTGATACCCTCTGCAACCGGCAGCTTCTAATTAGTCTTGCACTCTGCTTGTCAACAGCAGCTTTTGAGCAAAAATTTTGTAAGACAGCGACGATAATCATCATGGAAACTTCTCTGAGCTTATTTATCACAAAAAGAAAAGTGATGTTTAATAAAAAGTAATTGGGCAAGGAATCATATTCTTGTGATTTTTTGTCGAATATTTCTTGTTGTCCCGTTGAACGATTCGGATAAAATATTTTGATTTATTTTTTGGATACTGCCAAAAAAAATTAGCATTATTGTAGGATCTTACTACAATTAGTTTATTTACAATAAATGGATAATTGGTTAAACAGGAAACGATGGTTGTTTAACATGAACTAGTCACAATGACGTACTATAATTAAGACAACTAGATAGTTGATTTGCAACTCTCGTCACTACGGTTCCAACGTTTTCTCTTACGCAGATCACACTCTCTGGAAAACGCTAGCAACACTATCTCGACAACTCAATTCGCACTCTCTGACTTCTCAACTAACACTCTGTGGCTTCTCAACTAACACTAACTGTTGATTCGTCTTTGTCCCTTAGCATCCCTTTGTCTTTTGTCTTACCCCCACCACGCACGTATTCCGCAACCGCTAGTGGTCAGGATCACGCAGGCTTTTTCTGCGAAACTATTCGATTGAAGGACCGGCGGTACATTATTGGGCCTGTCGGCACTTCGGCTTTCTCGCGACATTGTTTGTAGTTCGCTCGATATCTCTTAGGCCTTTCGCCCACGATACTATATTATTGACCAGTGAAACGGAAAAATGGATGGCGACAAAGCAAAACGTACTTTAGATTCTAGATTAGCATGTCAGATGTAACAACGAGCAGTTACAATAATTACAAGCTACAACCAAATTGCATCCAATAGACTAGCGAAAAGTACGATCCTTTGTTCGGAATTCAACGCTCTTGAAACTTACAAAACCACGAAGCGTCTCTAGCAAACTTGTTAGTTACATGTATGTATGTAGAAGGACTTTAAAAAGGACTTTACTTCTCACCTGGAAAACAAGTCATTTCCGAAAGAATAAATTAATAAAATTGCAAAATTTTACATCGTTTCTATTCGCTGAAAATGACATACCGATTAGTACAATCAATTTATCTAACAATAAATGAAAAATTTAAATAAATGGTGGTACGTTAATTTTTACGAAGCATGTATGTATTTAGGAAATTACATATTTTTTAGCTATAAATTAATTCCATATAAATAAGTTTGTTCACTTGTAATTAGACAAAAAAGTAAAATTACTGTATTATAATATATCTCGTAAATGTTGTTATCTGTATTGTTGTAACTCGCAAATGAATTAAATGTTTATATTATTGTAAAATATATTACATTGATATCGATACTTTGTTGTATGTGCTTAAAAATTTATGCAGTTGAAAACTTTGTTCAAAGAAAATTTTTTAAAAGATACGTTGTTACAAACCGAATTTACCAATACACATCACGCGAAACACAAAAATGTTTCGTTATGCGTAGATCAAATATTCTATTTGCCAACCTAATAGCTTTACGAATCTCGCGTAAGCAAATTGTATAATCGATACTGGAAAACTGCTTGTACATTTTCAATGAAGAAGTATGCATCAACACTTTATTGTGATTGAAACGCATAACAATTAAAATATCGTAAATATCGGGATGCTTCAGAAATTGTATTCTCATATCAACGTTGAGCTTGCATGATAAATAATATACATGTATCATTATTATTATTATTCGCGTGTATATAACTCTTTAGCATACAAATTCGGTTACGAGTCGTTTGTGGTACTTTACTTGTGGTACTTTGTCGTACTTTATGTGATATTATTAAGTTAAACATAATCAAACATAAATTTAACTGATTTTGCATGTCCGAGAAAACGTGATAACACGTTAACCGCAGATGACTAAACGGAAAAATCGATGTGTATT